ACACTGTGCATGGTGGATGTCTGTTTTACCTGTTGTCGCTAATAATCTGGCCTTGTAGATACACAAACGCGACTTTCCGGTCATTGCCGCAATGGCTCGCGACTTCTTCGCCATTCCAGGTACCAGCGTATCTGTTGAGCACCTCTTTTCAACATCACGACACCTCTGCCACGAAACCCGCTCCCATGCATGCTGACACTATCATGAAAGGCATGCTTACAAAGATGTGAATCAAGGCTGGGTTATTCAAGTCAAAACAGTCCATCAGGAAAAGCCTCCCCAGGTAATCTGGCAGAATTTACCCAACTTTTCCCCAAATTATGTCGATTATGTCGAGTTTGTCAAGTGTCCTCCAATATTGTTACCCAAATCAGATTTCGCCAAATTTTGTGCCATTTTCGATAGATTATTGGGCATTACATTCTCTTCATACTTGCTCCAGACACCAAGTAGAGGATGAAATGAATAGCATTAAGCAGTACATATATGTAATAGAGCTATGCTAGTATACGTTTCGCGAGCCTGTTTTGCGAGCCTCGTTTGATGACTCTGAGTCAAATGCATTGGGGAAAGGGGTTTGGAGTTCAAGAGCTTAACGAGTATTGAAAAGCATGGTGGGGGAATTTGACAGCATTGAGGCTCGAGAGAACTCGTGGGCACGAATGTACTTGGGCAAGAAGGGATTTGACGAGATTGATGGCTTGAAAGACCAGGCGACGAGGATCGAGAGCACAAATGGGGGAACTTGTTGATGTTGAAGCTTGAAATGTGTGGGGGGAAGCGTACAAAGAGCGAACGAGACCGACGTGGCAACAGAACGAGACCGACGTAGCAACAGAGCGAAACCGACGTAGCAACGGTGCAATGCGGGCAATGCGGAATGAGTTTGGAGGGCTTGCGCAGAGCGAGGAGGGGGCCCTTGCAGAAGATTAGGCAGTGTTGAGGTCCGGGAGGGCGTTGACAAGCATTGTCGCTATGCAGACCCATACCGACACATATAGGGAGTGCGCGTGACGAAGGAAACATGCACACCTCTTGCACTAAGATATATCGCCCCAGTTGCACAGCGGGGATGCGGGGTGCAAGTTCTTGGGTGGGCCTGAGGCGGGCATTGGCCTAGTGACGTGGCATATTTGGGCGCGGAGAAGGTGCCAACAAGACAGGCTTAGGGGAAGTGGACAGCACGGGGAGGCGCATGAAAAGGAGGAGGGAAAAACCGGGAAGGAGGGACTCAGGAATGGGAAGCACGATGATGGTGAGAGAAGAAAAACAGAATGGTACGACTTCTTCATTGTGGTTTGTTTGGCATCATCGGAGTTTGAATGATGTCTACGCAAGTCCGATGTTTCCCCGGACCCGATGGTCCCGAAACGAGTTCTTGACCGGCCATCGCATTTGTGTCTGTTGATCTGGGTAGCTGGTTAATACTGAGTGCGTATAGATGGCTTCTGGACCTTCTGCCGCCATTGTTTGGATTTCTCACCAGAATGTCCTCAAATGTTCACGAGATTATCCGAAAATTTTGAACATGTAGTAAGATTATGTCCCGGCAAGATAATTTCCCAGAAATTACGCGAAATTAACTCGGGAGATTTTTCCTGATGTCGCAACTACGTAGTACCATCTACACTTACAATCTATAAATTTATTGCGCTTAAATCTATCTTTTTTAAACGTTTACAAACGTTTGTAAACGTTTGTGAACCGTTTACCGTTTAGTTTACGGGCCTTCGTAAACGAAAACTAAACGGTTGGAGCCTTAGTCTGGAATCTCTACACTTCGAGGACACATCCCCTGAATTCACGACCACGTTTATAAGCAACATGCCATTCACCACCCCCTTATCCCCGGTCTCCATCACATTCGCATCTTTCCCTCGTACGGCGTACCTGTCCGAGTTATACTCCGCGCTGGCGGCTCATTGCTCGCATTCTGCCCTATGTACTCACCATCGATGTCGATTTGTTGGAAGTTGGTGAAGAGCAGAACATACATCTCGATACCATCACTGGGCCCATCCTGCGACACCTCTTTTGCTTCACCAATCTCACAGAAGTCTACCTCCAGGCGGCGATAGGCTTCGACCTCGACGATGCTAACGCTCTCGACATGGCGCGTGCGTAGATCCATATGGAGCGCCTCGAATTGGTATCGCCCCCTTACCACGAGCGTTTTGCCAAAACCCGCGTCATGCTCAGCGCTCTCGCTGCGTTTGCCGCCCACTGTCCCTCTCTCAGTGCCTCCACATTCTGATCGACGCTTCCGTCGTCCCGGTTGCGGCGACAACGCTACAAGGCAATCTCACCAGGTTGTTCGTCGACTATTCCGCGATATCCTCCACGTCTGGCGTCGGGGCTTTCCTCTCCAACCTCTTTCCCCGACTCAAGTACGTATAGACCGATCACGACGCTCGCGCAGTAGGCCGTCGGCGTTTGGTCGTTTTCCATGGCAAGTGGAAGGGGTAGAAAGCATTCTGAAGGTAAACATCGACCAGAAGAATTAGGCCGGAGCTCCCTTCACATGTGTAGCGTAAGATGTTTCTTGTGCCCCGTCTGGCAATTCATTGAGCAGCATCGCATTACTTACGATCCGACTTCGGCTGCAGTCGGGATAAGTCGCTCCACCATCTCAACCCGTGCCTCCTCGCATCGCCTATCTGCTCATATGTTTGCAAGGAGTACACGCCCTTTTGCATTAGAAACTTTCCCATTACCGAGATTATCATCGTAAACTTATCTTGCTGGGGTGGCATTCTACCCGTGGCGGACATTCGGCTCATCAGGACTGAACCGAAAATGAACTGCAAGCTGCCATCCCCGCCACATATTTATTATATCATGAATTTAGATTGGAGATGAGGAACACTCGCGACTGAAGAGTGGCGTGGGTCTGCTCGCAATTCATTGCAAAAGCTACGAAGGAAAAAATAGGCATGGCTAAGAATAAGTACGCTTCGAGGTCGGCAGCTGTCGATTTTGAACTGGAGAAGGCCGGAAATCGAGAGATCCCCTATATTCACAAGGTCGAAGACCCCTCCCCACTGTCGATTCGACCCGTGTTTGGGCCTGCAGCGTTCAGTTGTCCCACAATATCGGACTGCAGCTGCATCGGCACGAATATAACCTTGCTCTGCCCCGACTTCGCCATCGCTTGCACTGTTTCGCGCATGTCGTCAGCGAACTAACGCAAGGAGGAAAATTAACAACGCACAAGCCTCGAGCTGCCTGATCTGCATCGCCGCCGGACTTGCCAGGATGTCCGCCGCCTGCCGCATGAGCTTCGCGGAGTCCACCTCCGCGCGCGCGGCGATAACTTTGCTCTCCCCGAGCCGCTTCTGTTGCGCCGCGCTGCTGAGACTCGCGCTGACGTCCGCGGAGAAGATGATGTCCTTGATGAGGATGCCCTCGATGGTGACACCCCAGTGGTCCGCCACGTCGCTCACGATCTCGGCGATCTCGAACGCGATGTTCTCGCGCTCGGTGACGACAGACTGCACCGCGCGTCCGCCGACGACTTGGCGCAGGGTTGTCTGCGCGCGCTCGATGAGCGCCTTGTGCAGGTCGCTGATGCCGAACGCGGCGCGGTAGGGGTTGTTGATTTGATAGTAGATGACGGAGTCACTGCGATGGAAATATAAGCTCGGGGGAGTTTAACGCCGCAGAGGGGCGTACATCTCAACGTTCACGTTATCACGCGTGCTGTGGGAAATCTGTCAATGAGGGAAACCTTGCTAGGGAAGGGCAACGTACATGACACCCTGCCGACCGATTGGGATAATCTGGATTTTGACATCGACGACTCGGAGGGACTCTGTGCAGACGTTTACTTGCACCAGTCCAGGATCGACTGATTTGTAGAACTGCCCGAATCTGGAGACGAGGCCGACGGAACCTGGGGTACATTTAACATGTGCATAGCACAAACCAGAGAAAGGGAACGTGCCTTGCTGAACTTGACGGAAGGGATTTGGGCATGGCATGCAAGGTACCATCCCGCACAAACCGACGACGCATCCGAGGCCTTGGAGGAGGGATCCGTAGAGACCGTGTGTAACCTTTATGGATACATGAGATCCGGGCCGGAAGGACAAGCAGGTCCGAGGAACAGACAGTGCTCGTAAAACACACTCAGCTAACCTCGTCAGTTCCCAGGTCTTGAGCATACGACGGCTTTTTGGTATGTGAGAAAGGAATTAAATGCGGATGCCGTATAACTTGCCTGCATTTCCTCTTTCTTCAGCGGCTGGACCTTTATCAGGTGCTGGGTGTCGCCACCGTTTGCCCGCCGTGGAGCTTGTACGGCGGGTGGTCCCGCCACTGCTGATGCGCACGCGTCGAGTTTTTTTCCCATGAGAAGGTAAGTAGCTCACCATCGGCAGGACGGTCCACAGCCTTTCCCCGAGAGGTGGAGGACTCAGTATGCGACGGCACGCGGTCCTTGAGCTCGAAGGCGCTTTGCGACATGAGAGAGCAGTGGTGGAGAACCCGGTCAGAGAGCGGTCTTATAACTGACCACTGGCACGTCCCGCGTTCCGCAGTATGTGCCCCACCCCAGAAATAGATTAATACCCGCATTCACCCGGTTCAGCCCGAAATGGACATGATGCTGTAGAAGAATCCCACAATCCATTGTCACATGGTCGGAGATGCGGGCCTACCGCCGACACCATCGGAGTTCTATGATGTTTCAACTGCGCAAACTGCGAGGAAAACAGCACTGACGTCTATGCGGCATTTACGCTTGTAACAGCGCTTGACATTGGCTTGACACGCGATCCCGAATTTTAACAGTTCTGACCTGCTGCGCACCTCCGACCGAACTGCGCATCCAATGCAGGCACCATTTGAATTGGCGGGATCCAAAATCTCCAAACTGACTTGAGGAACAAGTCGGACGAGCAAATTTCGCCAGATCCACTGCGCATTTGAAGAAGTTCGGGGCTTTTCGTAGAGTATTTGGGACTTTAGACAACATAGTTAACGCAAAACTGCTTGCCGCCGGTTCTGTAGTGTAGCGGTTATCACTCCAGATTTTGACGAAATCGGTGAGATTTCAGCAATCGAAATTCTGGTGACCCCGGTTCGATCCCGGGCAGGACCTTTGGACGTTTGAAGCCTGCGAAGGCAACGTGCTGGAAGTTTTTTCTACAGGGATCCTTTTGGGCACGAATCACAGAGTTTATGCACGAGGAGCGAGAGAAGCGATGGGCGGTGCCGCGTTAGGGATTGCCGCCACACTTTACTTTGGTTTTCCCTTCACAATCATAATAGAGACGATCTAGCCAGAAACCGGTTTCGACCTTCAGGACTTCCAGATTTCAGGCATCCTGGATGATAAGTGACCGCCACAAAGACAAGGTTATTCCGAAGTGAACAGAACATCGGCGACCGCTAGAAGTCCCCATGCATCACGGCCACATACTTACTTGGGGGTGAGGCCGTGGTACTGCCCGCCAAACTTCGTATTTATGTCCTTTTATCCTGTTTAGTGGGAAATTTCAAAGATGCATTTTAGATGTTGAAGGACTATGACTCATGTCCGATCCAAAAGAAGACAAAAAACCTCTTCCGTAAATGTCCACTTCCTGGTACTAATCATCAATTCTTGCATAGATCAGCGCACACACATTTCCGGGTGACCTCTCCCCTTGTGCATGTGTTCAAAAACCCCTCGCCGAGAACCCACCGACTGCGTCTCAAAGACGGGGACGCGCCATGGCAAAGAGGCCGGATGGAGCGGGGAGTGATCCGGCAGGTGGTGATCTATCTGCTCACGGAGACGGCATTGCCTGTCGAGCCCGCTCATTCAGCCCGCCGCGAACCGTCCGGCTGTCTCTGGTGGAGATATCTTCTTGGTGGCTATTTGTGAAGATGACGAGCGCCCGGTGCTCATCTTCTAGAATTCACACTCGACGTGAAAGACCACAATTTCATTTTAAATTTGATCCTGGCTCTCGACGTCGAGGCCGTTGCGGACAGGGACAGAAATACACACATGTGCGGCTTCCAAGTGAAGCGGACGATAAATCTGCAGCAAGCAGCTCTGGAATTTATATGAGATTCAGAGACATGCGGTAGAGCATTTCAGTCGCCTGTGAACATCAAAAGGTGCCTCAGACAGAAAGACGGTGTGCGCACTAAGTATTTTCAAGGCCGTCTCTAGGGCTTTCCAGACAAAAGGCGAACCCATGACCTCGGCTTCTGCTTCCACATTCTCATCCTGGCTGTCGATTCCTAGGTCCTCATAGAAGGCCTCGATCCACTGCAGGTTGGGAAAGATCGTAGAGAGGAAGGCCGTGACGGGGGCGGGGTAACTGATGAGGGAGAGCGAAACACTGACGCAGGTAAGGGCCGCTTGAAACACTCTCGGGGTGTGTCGCAGTTCGGGGACTACCCTGGCGTTGAATGTTATCTTCAGCGTGCGCAGACTGGGACAATGCGCTGCGGAAGTGGGGATCCCTTCGAGCATTACACGGGGGTGCATATGACGCAAGGGCCCTGCTACGAGCTCCAGATGTGCAATCCGAGGCCAAGCGTGAGCCATGGTAAGGATCGTGGCGTCGTCAAGATCAAGCCGACTCGGTGGGCAAGTACGCTGGTGAAGAGGTGGGCGAAAGAGAACAGAGGAAGCAGATTCTCGCTCCCCAGAGTAGCTGTTGACTTGGGCAGTAGTTAGCGGGTCGCGACCAGGACTGCTGCTGGACACCCGTAATCCTCGCAAAGACGAATGTCCGCAATGCTTTTTTACGAGTAAAATTGTCGAGCGATTAAACTGGTGAGAAGTGTACCGACGGTAAGCTGCACAAAAGGATGATTGCCGACATAGAAAGCAATGAGGTGGCGAACTCCATTGTCGGTACGGTGAGATAAGTCAGGGCTAAAAAATAACCAGAAACGGGCGGAGGGAAGGGAACCGTGTCTGCGGGAGTTGGAAGTGCAAGAACGTCAGGTCGGAATGGCCAGCTATGCGTGCAAACGCTGCTGCATACAGCCCGGGTACCTCCAGTGATTTGAGAGACCTCACGTCGCACACGAATGTGGATATGGTGGGGACAGCCAAGCGCTCAATGCCTTGGATTGCAATCGACACGTTTGTTAGAGACGGACATTTGACCGCGAGATTGGAAATGATAGACAAGTGGGAGATCGTTCTGATGCTCCACTCTTAATCTTATCTTATCTTGGCTACAGTGATGCGGAAAAAACGCCAAAATTGAGGAGCGGAAACTCCCCATCCTCTGTGAGTCACCACAGAAAGGACAGTTGTCATTTGAGACCGAGTTCCCGGCGAACCTACGCCGTGCGAGTTCCGAGCATCACGTACCCAAAACGTACCATCTGTTTCAACTTTCAAGAGAATACGAGGCCCGGTGCCCAGGATTGACTTCTAAGCCCGTTCGACGGCAGAAAATGCGGTCATATGGAATTAAATTCGGAATTGCCAAATCGCACCGGGACTGGACAGTTGCTCAGTGGGCGCAGTATGCCGAGATCCGAGCTCTTTGGTAGGATGGATGGTAAACATTAGTACGTATGATTCAGTGCTAATAAAGAGGTTCTGGATATTACCCACAGGTAACGAGAAGGTCGAGAAAAGGGAGAGACAACGATGCGCCAAAAGTTCTCGGAGACGCGAAATCAGAACGCAGTATCGTTATGAGGAAATAAACCTAGCGCAAGCGCATATCGTCGGATGCTTTGGATGGGTTGAATGTGTCCCAAGCGACGCGCCGGATCAAGGAAGTGCTCTGCGAACAGAGTCAATCTAAACCCCGCGGGAGTATAAATTACCTACTGTTCTGTGCCGGGTTCAATGTTAACGCAACACGTCCTCGACCGCTTTCCAGCGGCTGTGCAATTCCAAGACGTCAGCTCTGCCAATCTCATGCTCGTCGTCATCCAGATAGAGTCGATTGTCGTAAAACGTCATGATCCGCCTCAATTCGGGAAAGATCGCCGCAAGGAATACGGCCACGCGGCCGGGGTTGGTGACGGGCGAGAGGGAGACATCGAACGTGAAAAGTCGTTTCTGCGCCGCTCTCCGCCTCTCCTTGTCCAGCCTGATGTTCGGAACGGAAGTCACATCGACCGTCATCCCAAGTCTGCGAAGGCTGTGACAGTTTTCTGCGAGAAAATAAACGCCCTCGAGCGTCACGCGAGGGTGAATATGGTGGAGGGGTCGCGCCTCGAGGAATAGAGACGCGAGGCGAGGCCATGAACGAGCCATTTGGAGGATCGTAGCATCGTCTAGGTCGAATCCCACGGGGTGTTCGAGCGAGACATCGACGGGGTTGGCAAAGGATAACATAGGTTGCAGTACGTCTCCATTCACGGAATACATGGCACGATCAGTGATTTAATGCGCATCAAACTGCGTACAAATGTGGATACGGCCGAAACAATGTTGTCCGAGGGCATTGGAATATAAAGTGCGACTTCTGTCAGATAGGGGCATTTGAGTGGGAGGTTGAAAAGGATGCATATATGGGAGGACAAGCGCATATTAGCGAGGGTGAGTGTGTGGATCGTGGGTGATAAGAACAAGCGGACATGATGGAATGACTCGGGACGCCCTTGATACCAGCGCAACTTTGGGAGTTTGGGGAATACGCAATCTCCCGGCAGGGAAAGATTGAGGGCCTCCAGAGAATCGGAGGTTTCAATCGGGCACGAAGTCTCCATGCAAAACGACTTCACCCGATGAGAGTAGAAGAGGGGGCTCTCCCAATCTGCAGCGGTTATGATTCGTAGCAAACGCTAAAACGAGTTGGTCAAAAACGATAGGACAGCGACGGAGGTGCGAGTCTGGTCCGTATAATATTTAGCACCTCTTCATCCTTATCGCCAGTTTCGGTGATATCTTATAGATCTTTCGGCATGCACTTGAGTAGATTAACAATGGTACTCTGATCCTTTCTGATTCTTCCACAAGCAATCCAGTGCTGAATTTTGAAAGATCGTGGATGTCCTGGCAAGCGCAGCCAAATTAGCCGCCCCAAAAACCACGTCTAAGTCGTCCGGCCCAGCGTCATCCTCCGATATGATAGCCTCCTAGCTAAGCTGCACACAAATAAGCTCGACAATTTCCAGTATTCCTAACGCCCGATGCTGTGGCTGAGGTTCGGTACCAATCACGGCAAGGCAGCAAAAGAAAGGGACTCGGACAAGACCCGGAGGTTGCCCGGAGGAAGGAAAAACACGAAGTGATGCTCTGTCACATCAGTTACATTGATTCATTGATCGATCGACAATCGATCGATCGAGCGGCTTGGCCCGAACCTTCAAGCTTCAGCCCACCGTACATCTGGTACGTCGGTGGTACGTCCTTCACAAGTAAGTGATATGGAAATCCGCCCGTCGCTGTTCAGTGCTAGTACGTGGCCTGACCCCCGACCACGTGGCACGGTCGTGGTCCGCACGGAGTCCTCGACTCGCCGAATGCTCAATCCCGAGCTGTGGGCTCATTGCGAGTCTGTCCAAACCTGCCCTGCCGAATCCTGTCAATGGTGCTACAAACATTCCTGGTTCATTCGGTCGCACTATTAGAATGCATGCTCGGTTCCTCTGCTGCTCCTGACGTTCTTCATCAATAGGGGACTGCCTACCTCTCAACTTTACCTGCTCCCTTCCTTCTCCGTTACCCCAGGACTTGCGGATGGTCTCGGAAGCAACTCTAGCCCTACTTTTGGCTGCCTAATCATTGTATTGCGATTCTCACATGGGCCTGTAACCCAGTTGGAGGCTGCTGTAACTTGATTCTCGACTCTCGACTCTGGCGTTTCCCGACAGCTGAACGTGATACCGCCGCCCATCCACACGATTTCTTGGCCGTTTCCGCATACCTTTGAGCGTTCGGATTGACGGCTCACTGTCTGTCAATGCCCTTGGCGTGCTGTTATTGACTTGGTGATTAATCTCCGGGCTCAAGCAGGGGCCAGCGCCGAAACCTTGACTTAATTGTGCTCTCCGTTACCTATTGCACCAGAAATCGACCTTTAGGTTTGCGGCATCCCTCTTTAAAGCGCCCCAACATTAATCAACGCAATGGTGCGACGGGCACCTTCTGACAAAGATCTCGGACATGTGGGCACGAAATTGAAC